TACTATGGTCATTTAAAATTCCTTGACGTTGCATGTCTCTCACTGTATTTTTGCTATTTTCTCTAATCATAAATCACACAACGGCTACAAGGACACTAACGTTACTTGACCACCTCCTAAGTCAATGGCTCCGTGGCACCGCATAGGCATCGTGCTAGTAAAACTACAAAAAAAAGTTTTTTCTTTGGAGATGGGATGTACAGCTACATCCCCATTCACATTAACCCCAACAATCACTATAGATTAATCCTAATTAATCAACTAATCATATTAGCATGGGCCCCATCGTTGTCATTATTTAATCCTTAACCACACAGCTATCCCTCATTACTAAATTTCTTTGTGAATTGTGCTTCTACGTAACCTCAACTATTGATAACCATAAGATCAAAATGTGTGGCATCAGCAAGTAATGCATATACTCAACTATACTAATTTGTCCCTGCAAATCACGCCGCATCATCGAGTCATGTATGTTTATTTCGTAAAAATCAAATCATACATTCTAGTTACAAGTTATTTTCTTTCCCTTAATTTTTTAATTGTCATGGTCGGTATATGTGTTGAACGTTTAGCGTAAAAAAAATAGAGTTCATGCTTCACATTTTTGTTAAAATATAATGGTGTGTTAAGTTCAGTTCAAAAGACCTCGCAAAAAAAAGTTCAGTGCAAAAGATTTTTCTCCTGTCATACATTATTTTTGTCAGATACTTCTGATCTTATTATTTTTATAATGTAAACTAAAACACTCTAAGCTACGACTCGTCCCCTGGTCAGGGTTTCTCTTTCTCTCTTGCGGATGTTGCTGCGCTACTCTTTCCTTCTCACGGATTTGGCCGCTAGGGCACTCATCCCGTCCAAAGCTTCGCCGGTGAGTCTGTGGATCTATATCCATGCCGCACGCAACTCAGGTGGCCAGTGGCAGGGACGAAGATCATGATGCCTCAGCTCCGGAAAGTAGTTTAGGTTAGGTTTTTATTTTCTTGCAGGGCAGTGCTACATCTTCAAACTAGTCATCAGATCTTAGATCCTCCTCGACATTGGCCATCGGGATGGAGTCGATGAAGCTCCAACGTAGATTCCTAAACGTCTCCTGTGGCGGCGAGGCTAGGGTTTCGCATCGTGCATGAATCACGATGAGGTTTGGTGTCATGCTCTTCAGATCGATTCAAGAGTTCAATGGCAGCAACTGAAGCTCTGATGTGTTGGTCCATACGTGCACAAAGACTTCTGTGATGTCATCGACAAGGTCAAGTTAGCTCTAGTAGGGGAGCAGCGACACCGCACACCAGCAGCGATATCGATCATTTGGTGGTGTTGCTCAATGTAATTTTTCTCATGTTGGGATTCATTGTACTAGTTATGAACCTTTATGATATATCCAATTCCTAGAAATCAAGAACACTTCTACATTTTGTTTTCATTGCTTTTAGTTATTTTTAAGCACCTATTTTTAACACAGTATGATCACTGATGCTCACATAGACATACTTACACTCACCCCTATAAACACAAGCACGCACATCCAATCCTATGAGCACATTTGAGATACTGAGCCGGTACAACATCTTGAGATTGACGAAGTCACCACATGTGCCTAGTAGTAAATGAAAACGTCTCCTCCCACTGAATGAACATCACTGAAAAGTCTGAAATAAATCCAGAAAAATGAGAGTGCCAGTTGGTGCCAATTATAGGACTTGAACCCTGGTAGGCATTGGGGTAACCTTTGAAATGGGTACCCATAACTAGTGATTTCGGGCATGCTTGGTTCATAGCTGGACTTCACCACACGTTTCTTACTAAGATGTGGCATGCCACAAAAGGTGCACTGAAAAATTGGTCTTTCAGTTGTAGCGAGATTTGGCAATGTTATGTGCATATGATAGTACACGATGACCATATTTTAAACACAAACTAAACTTTCTTGTGAATATATTATGAACATTTTTTTATATAAGGTGAATATTCTCTTAAAACAAACCAAACAAATTACTAGATCTAATTTTTATTTTGTGAATTACCTTATCTATTTTATTTGGCCATTTGTTTTCTGTAATAAAAATCGAACCAATAAACAACAACAGAAAATCAGAAACTGGAGATAGGGTACCAATCCCCCTACCTCTTAAATGCATTCAAATGATCTACCATTTGAGCTACATCCCCTTTTATTATCTTGATATATTATCCCCCAATTAACAATTCTATTGAATTACATGTTTAAACGGGAGATATTTTTTCTTACGGGCGTTTAAATAGGAGATGTTACAAAAATAGTGCTACCCAGAGGATCCACAAGACGTTGCCCCATTATTCAATCAAGCAATGCCGAACCTCAAGACATACACATATTTGCTTTCCTTCCAATACTACGTATTTTGCAATCCTGATACATAATCGATGAGTGCACAAGAGGGGAAGATGGAGCTTAGATCTACGTCTCTTGATCTCCTCCTCCCTTCGTTAGGACCCAAATAGTTTGTACTATTATTATTGGCATATCATATATGATCCACAATGAAAGGAAAATCGACATCGGTCAGATACACGAACGCTAAGATGAATAATGGATGGATGAACACCAGCTAGCCGCAGAGATTATTGATGGATGGACTTATAATTCACATTCCACCTTGCATGAGGGGTGCTTGATTAGTTTAGGTAATGAGCATTTGGGTTTGCCGTTCTTGGAGTTTTTCATCTTGGCACAGCAGGGGCACTCGTTGCGCGTGTGATGCCCGGTGCCGGAGGGGACACAAGTGCACTTGCCGCAACAGATATTTATTTCTTTTTGTGATTTTACTTTTCCTTTTCTTTTTCTTTTCCCTGATACATGTTGACTTCTTTAATATACATAGTGCGTTTTTTGTATATGCGCGGAATATTTTATTAATACGCATTGAACAATTTTCACATATATGATGAACATTGTTTTAATACATGTTTAAACATTTTTTAATAAATTTAATCAGTTTTCAAATACACGCTACATGTTTTGGAGTGGTAGAAACATTTTGTAAAATTACCTGTACAATTCTTTTACATTGTAAAAACATTTTCTTAAATTTTACAAACATTTTATTGATACACATTTCATTTTTAAATATGAAGAATTTTTTTTTCAATTTTATTTAACATTATTTCAAAATTACGCAAAAAAAAACATTCTGTAAACATTTTCTTAAAATGTCATGAACATTTGTTTGAAACTTATGAAAATTTAAAATGTCACAAACATGTTTGTGAATAGTACAAACATTTTTAGCAATTGCATGAACAAAATGTTTACGTTGCATTCACATTTTTAAACTACACAATGAACATTGTAAAAAAAATGTGAAGTAATTTTTGTAGTATGTATATTGGAAAGTTTTTGAAATATAACCAAAATTTAAAAATGGAAATAAAAAAGGAATGGACAAAATGAATAAACTAAGCTAACATTTGTAGGTACAAATGAGCTAGCCTACTGGAGCGTCGCTCGAGGCAACTGCTCCACAGACTCTCCCCTCAATGTTTACCAACACTTGAAACTTCTTCTTTTTACTAATGAGGACGGGGCGTCGACCCGTTGGCTAGGCAGCTGAGGTTGCTGCCAACCCACCATAGTTCAAGTCATGGCTTGGACGCATGATGCTCGCGGAGTTTCTCCTATAAATAAATGCCAACAAGGGTTAGCCCTTGGGTTGGTCTCATTTTTTTTTCTTTTTACTAATACTAGCACAATGCACGTGTGTTGCGATGAAACCATAAAAAAATGTGATGAGATACTACTTGCTTTAGAGATCATCAAAAGATGATGGTGTCTTACGACTATTGCAGAGTTTATGAATAAAAAAGAAGGCATGAATATAACGGAAGGTTGTGTTGTAGTCATTGAGGAATTTTAAGCGACCATTGTAGATTTTTCTTTTGCAAGATTTACAGTGAGATAAAATTTGAGAATGGATATGAGTAATTTGTACGCACAGATTATGGATTTGGTAGAAGGACAACGTCAATGACCCAGGGGCGACGCTAGGGGTATTCTTGGGACTTAATGTGAATACCCATAATTTTTACAAAACGGTGTTGATTTTGGTAAAAGAGTAACAATTTTTGAAAAACAGCAATGATTTTGGCAAAATGAATACACATGAATACACGGTTGCAAATTTCTGAAGCCGGCACTGCAATGACCACGCTAAAATTGCAATGTGTTTGCTCTCTTTTGCTATGCTATAAAATTGGAAGAATTGGTTGGACAGGGAAATTAAAATCAAGACCATAATTTTGAGTTGGAGTCATATGCATTTATAATATGTGTCTAAGAGTGTTATTCTCATACAGTTAGCAAAAAAGTTGAGTCACTTATTTTGGGACGGAGGAAGTATATGGGTAGAGGAAAAAATCAAATCGATGAACAAAATAAATCTAAATCTGAAAACTAGAAACTGGAGATGGGATCTACCATTTGAGCTACATCCCCTATTTTATCTTCATATATTATTTCCTAATTAAAACTTCTAATGACTTACTGCATGTTTAAACAGGAGGTTTTTTTTTTACAGACGCTTAAATAGGAAGACACGGTAGAAAATAGTGCTGCCCAGCTAGACAAAATAAAAGGATCCACAAGACGCTGCCCCAGTCATCCAATCGAGCAGCACATACTGAACCTCAATCCAACCACACTGCTTCCAACACTACATATTTTGCAATACAGATACATAATGGACGATGAGTACACAAGAGGGGAACGGAAGATGGAGCTTCGGTCTACCTCTCATTGATCTCCTCCTCCCTTCATTAGGACCTAAACAAACAGCTTATACTAACATTATTAGCACATTAGCATACACGATTCTATATGATCCACAACAAAAGGGAAGGAAAATGGCAGGCTAATTAAGATGAACACCAGCGTCGAGCGGCGGCGATTATTGATGGATGGGATGGGATCATAATTTTTAGCCCGCCTTGCATGCTTGCTTGCCTTGGCTAGTTTGGTTTAGGTTTTAGGGGCACTTGGGTTTGCCGTTCTTGGTGTTCTTCATGTTGGCGTAGCAGGGGCACTCGTTGCGGGTGTCCTGGCCGGTGCCGGAGGGGACGCAGCTGCACTTGCCGCAGCAGATGTTGCACAACTTGTTGCACATCTCGTTCTTCCAGTTCCTCCCGCACCGCGCCTCGCACGCCTTGGGGCAGTCTATGCCCAGCAGGGTCCTCCCGCCGCCGCCGCCCGCCGCCTGCACCGTATACATGTACGATCATCGAGCATGCAATGGCTACACAAGATATGAAACTGAGCACCATATATATATATCTTCATGGTCTGAAACTGTGTGGAAGTAAATTCATGGTTGCAGATTCAGAAGAAAAAGAAAAGGAAAAGAAATATAAACGGAGGTAGGCATATCAAGCAATGGCATTTCACCTCCGAGACAATCAACAGAGCGTGGAGACCTAATTAAAGCAAGAAACTTTCATTCTTTTCCATGCATGCGCGGGAAGTGATTAATTAGTTTAATCAGGATAGCTAACGCGTCTCTGGGTTCGTAACATACGTTCAGAGCAAATGCATGTGTTCGTCTATCTGTTTACCGAGGAGGAACCATCAGCGTCCACGGCCACGAGCAGGGTTGCAACGAGGAGGACGACGGCGGCGGCGGCGAGGAAGAGAGGCTTGGAGACCGCCATGGATGGATGGAGGAGGTGTATGCATGCGTGGAGAGGTAGAGAGAGCGTGCATTAATAGAAGCAAGCCCGTCCGCCACCTTCGGACGGCCGCGCGCGTATCCTTCTCTGCCTCACGTCTATTTATATATGATCAGCAACTAGATTCATCCCCTTTTTTTTTTCTTTTTGCAGAAGAAGAGTAACTGATTTTTTTTTTGCAGGTGAAGAAGAGTAACTGATGACCCCGAATACAATACAGAGAGCGGCTAAGCTTAGATTGAGAATAATAAACACTAGCTATAGGAAGATTAGTCTGAACTAACTTGTGACCGGTAGCTACTGATTGATTATGAAGAAACTGGGAGTTGACTCCGCGAGAAAAGTTTGATCAATTACCATCAGCTGACGATCATCACCGTCACCACCCGGAGCCGGTTGATGCGCGTCGGCTGCCACCGTCGCCGCCGCCAGGGTGACCGCGAGGACGGCGACGAAGAGGAGGAGAGGGGGAGCGATGGAGGCGGACGCCATTGCCAGGGAGATGGAGATGGAGATGGGGGATGGGGGAGGGGGAGAGGATGCAGAGTAGTAGTAGGAGTAGATAGTGTCGGTTAACAGTGGGTCACGCCAAGGGTGCCATGGCCTTTTCAACCTGCCCTCCAGTGACAATGTGTGGCCGCGTGCACTGCACACAGGACACCGAGATAGTGATGGCGTCGGTCCGGCACGGGCGCAGAGTGCAGTTAGCGTGCTGCTCCGGTGGGTGGGTGACAGACACTGAACCGACTGCACTCTGTTCACCAACAGAATGGGAACAGAGCGCAGTGCACCGACCACTATGAGCGGCACCCCAATGTGGCGACACGGTGGAGAGGCTCATCAATACACCTCTCAACTGAACGTGCACAGACGTGGTGGGAAATGAGAGGTGAATAATTTTGGACCCCTTTCTGAATCACGTCTGCTCATCCCCACCATGCTACAACTGAACGTGCACTCACAACGTTTCCAAATTGTTGTCGGCATGTAAACGGACAGTGCAACAATGCAGAACGACTGCAGCATATCAACATTACCGCACTAAATGCAGACTGAAATACAACACATCTAAAGTAGGATGCTCCCTCCGTTCGGAATTACTTGTCGCAAAAATGGATGTATCTAGACGTATTTTAGTTCTAGATACATCCATTTCCGAGACAAGTAATTCCGAACGGAGGGAGTAACATGTTAGACCCCAAACAAATGGCAGGTGCACAAGAGAATCCTGACAGGAACCCCATGGTGATAACACAATGCACCACAGATCTTTCAGTATATTTGTTTTGCCCAGCTGCTCTGAGACTGAGCTAACTGGAGGTGTGAAAACTGAATGGGAAGATCCACCGCCTTCCCAGATATACAGCGTTAGGCTGAGTCGTGTTTTTGGATCGCATTTTGTCGAGCGTACATCAGAATAATCACATAGTAAAATGCACAACAATGTGTTATACAACAATGCTATACCCTCTGTTTCCTTGATTTATCATCGGGGACAGAATGGGGGAATGCCGCAAAGAAATCCCCAGGAAATAAACCTGCTAGACAACAGCACAACTTATCAATCAGGATACGGCTTTAATATTTATGACTAGAGAAGAAACTCAGAAAAGCACAAGTTATTAATGGACAGAAAGAACTTACAGATGTTTATTCTGCAGCATACTGCATTTAGCAGATGACAAGGTTAAACAATAGGTCTATCCTTCCGGCACTAGTCACAAAAATGTACTGGTGCTGTCAGAGCTATCAAAATCCTATAGAAAAGAACAACAGGCACATCGTGCCTGACGTATCTAGCATGATGCAAGTCGCCCGAGCAAAATTCCACTGGACACCAAAGCTCCAAACCACTTATTTGATACAAACCTGCAGATTAGGAATTAAACAAGACAGGTTTAATTATTTAAGCACTTCAAGGTTGTAAGTAAACAATGAATACACAATTTCTTTTAAATCTCAAAATGAAGAGTGAGGATTCAATGTAAAGGAACATACTTCCTGTTGCAATCTGCACGGTCAGATAAGTCAACGGTTGAAATCTGCCATGCCAAATGTGCGGCTGCAGCTGTCAGAAGAGGGTAGTAGGGCCATGCTGTCGAACATGATCAAAGCATGCCGTCAACATTATGTTAAAAACAATAAATACTCTTCATAGAACATGACATTCTGATAATGAGCACCAACCAAGTTCGGCATTGTAGCCACTGAGCACTAAGCTGCCAATGGATGCAGCGCCAAAGGCACTGATCCATTGCTTGGTCGAATCCCCAAACCTTAATGCTGTGGACTTGACACCTACTTTGAGGTCATCTTCTTTGTCCTGACATGTAACGGATACGATCATAAGAAACCACCACAATCCCGATGAGTTGCTTTTGCTCAGTTTAGATATGAAAGAATGCCACTAGTAAAATACCTGATGTGCATATATGGTATCATACACCAATGTCCAACATATACCAGCAGTATACAGTGGAAGGATGACTGCAGGGTCTAAGCTCCCTCTGATAGCAGCCCATCCTAGCAAAGCTCCCCAGTTGAAGGTCAAGCCGAGATATGCCTGAGGCTGTCAAAAAATGCACCAGAAGTATTTAAGTAATCACTCTCTGTAATATCAAGCAATATCATGGTAGTACGACCTAGCATTTGTGTACTACATACCCAAAATGTGAACCTCTTCATCAGGGGATAAGAAAACACCAGAAGAAGAGAAGATGCTCCAAGAACACGGCTACATGGACAAGTAGACAAATTTAGAGGTGAATATTACAATAATGTTGGAAGGAAATGCATCTAACAAGCTCTCAATCTAAAAAGCACGGACACGCCAGAATCAGCCGAACTGCCGTCCTGATACGGCGGGATACGGGGATACGCCGGGATACGCTGGGATACGCGAACTAAGCCGTGTCCCACGAATTTCGATTAATAATAAGGAAAAAATTACAGGGATACGGTGGGACACGTCTGGGACACGTTTGGGACACGGCCCAGCCCAAAACCAGCCTCGGTCCAACCCAATACGAAACCCTATATGTCTCCCGCACCTTCTCTGTCATGAGAACGAGGTGCTCCCTCCCAGGTCGTACTGCACGAGCCGCCGCCTCCTGGATCGACGCCGCCGCCGGCGACGCCTGGATTCGGCGACCGCTAGCCCCAGCACCAGCAGCCTTTACTCGCAGGTAACCCAACAGCCTCTCCTATTCCTCAACCTCTTCCTCTTTGATTCGTCATATTTCTACCATTAAGCTGCTGGATCCTGGATGTTGCTTGCTATCTTGTGCTGCTGGGTTGAATGCTTGCGCTGCTGCTCCATGTTGCTTCAAGTATGTTTTGTCCTCTAATCTTTCAATTATGTCTTCTCCTCTAATCTTCTTTACTGTTTGTGTTTGATATGTTTTGCAAGATGGACGCAGCTTGCAATGACAACATGGCATGGGGGGATGAGGATCAATCAAGCACTTGGCAAAAAAGATTTCTTTCTTATTAATTTTCTGTCTTAACTTAATATTACATGCCATATTTTTATTTTATTATATATATACTCGCCGTATCCCCGAATGGCTGTTTTGGGAAAATGCCGTATCCCGTATCCCCGTATGCGTATCCCCGTCTTTCCGTCCCCGTGTCCGTGCTTCTTAGCTCTCAATCTTTTGGTGTTTGTGACAACTATAACTAAAAACAAATCAACAGGCGCGTATTAGATTTTAAAAGATACTTTATGTGCATTCCACAAAATGTCAATTACTACTATACAATTTGTTTGGAAGAACTTTGGAGCATCCAGAACAGGCAAACTGCACATTCCACTCACACAAGCAAAAGAACACAGAATTCACCTGAAGTTGTTAAGTTGGAGAAGAATGCCCAATCCCAGCAGTAGCTGGCCTCCGAGGAAGGCCACTCCTTGAGATGGGGTTAGAGCGCCTGATGCGAAAGGCCTGCTTTTGGTGCGCTCAACCTACACGAGAAACGTATCCACCATCAATTCACTGCATGATCCACTTGAGTGAAGTAATTTAGCAGTAGTAGAACACACAGATCTAATAGTACAACATACACCAAACTTGTCTGTAACCTCAGTTAGCATATTTTCCTCTCCATGGTTTCACTGTGCTGTTAGTTTTAGCTGTTGGTGAAAATTGCAGCCTATCCCTTTTCATGTTCACGGTTGCAAGAATCTGAAGGGCATTTTCAGCAACAGGCAAGATCTGAAGCGTTGTCTGCAACCAGGAAAAAAAAAGAGCAGAATCACCTTGTTATCAATGTCGCGGTCGAGAAGATCATTCACAGTGCAACCAGCCCCCCTGAGGAGGACAGCTCCGCACCCGAAGAGCGCCAGCATTTTCAAGTCCGGGAGCTCCCCCGGCATCGCCGCTATCGTGATCGACCTGCGAAGCAAGGGTCAAAGGAGCTCTTTGAGCAAGCTGGTAGGAGTACTTGGTAAGGCATATAACAGGGTAATAAAAGTTGCACTGGTGCTGACGAGCATGCTCTGTTTTCTTCCTAAAGCCCAAGATCGAGCATGGACTCAAAATTTTCAATTTTGACTAAATCTATTAACTGAAAATCTGTTTGTGCGCACAGCAAATCTGAAAATGTGAGCTGGGGCTGCTCTCTACTAATCTCTTGGTGAGCTGATCCTGCTGATCTACGCTATGGTGGTGAGAGATGGTTAGTAATGTCAGTAGAAGGAACTAGCAAGCGTACCACATGCAGGGCCAGGCGAGGAGCCAGGTGCCGATGGGCTTGTCGAGCCGGGCGAGCATCGCGTACGGCCGCGCCGCCTCCGGGAGCCACCTCTCCACCCACGACGCCGGCGACGGCGGCGGCGGGAGGCTCTCCTCCTTGTCCTTGTCCGAGTCCTTGTCCCGGGAGGAGGTCGAGAGCGCGAGCGAGAAGCTGCTGGGCAGCAGGATCCGGTCGATGTAGAACGAGGAGGCCGCCGCGGAGGCGGACGGCGGGTGAAGGCATGGGCCGCGGCGGGTTAGGGTGATGAGGTGGCGCCGGGCGGCGGGGTTGGGGGCGGGAGCGGGGGAGGGGGAGGGAGAGGAGGTGCTGGTGTGGGGGAACGGGGAGATGGCCGGGAGAGCGGCGACGCGGGCGCGGCGGCGGAGGGCGGCGGCGGCGGCGCGGAGCAGGGCCATGGATGGAAGCTCCAGCTGATGGCTCGGCCGTGCTTGTCAGTTTGGGCTTTGGGCTACCTGACGACACTTCTATATCCAATCTTATCAAAGAATGTTTATACAATGTGATAATGAATGTCTGCATAATTTTAAAAATTTTATTTCGTCTCATTTGAGAATACGTACATGATATTTAAAAAAACGAGTGTTTCAGAAAAATGTACATGACAATTTAACAAAATGTTTACATACAATGTGAAAAAAATGTCCGTGTGCTATAAAAAATGTACGTGACATTTGAAAGAAAAATCATAATTTCAATGTAGAGTGTGGGGTCCTCTTAGCAAAAACGAAATATTCACGCGTTTAGGAAAAAAAATTGTGGCATTTAAGAAAATGTGATAAATGTAAAAAAATGTTCATGTAGTTTTTGAAAAAATCTTTCATGCCACCAAGAAATGTTCAATGTGTATTTAAAAATATTTAGTAGTATGTGTTTGAAATAATGTTCAAGACAAGTATGTGGAAAAATAGTATATAGTGTATTTGAAAAATGTTCCACATCTGTACCAAAATAAACAATGTGTATCGTATTTTAGAAAACCTGAAGAAAACTGTTGAAGAAAAACATGCGTTGTATTTTACTGTTTTCTATTAATGAGCGGAAATGTCGGAAAAATTGCAGATTCTTCAAGTTAGGTGATTCCTGCTTACGATGGCAGGGACAGCTTCGTCTGGTATTCTACCCATCACCTTTCACCAAGTCAGTCAATATTGTCCTCGCCTCAACATTACAACATACTCCATCCTTCTATAATGTAGTGCATATAGATTTTCTACAAAGTCAAACTTTACAAAAACTTTGACCAAGTTTGTAGAGAAAACTATTTATATCTACAATACCAAATATATATAATATGAAAATATGTCTTGTGATGTATCTAAGCATATGTATTTGGTATTCTAGATGTATATATTTTTCTCACAAACTTGGTCAAAGTTTGTAAAGTTGGAGTTTTAAAAAATTCTATATGTGCTATATTGTGGAACGAAGGGAGTACATACAAAAGGCTGCAAGACTTGACGTGGAGAATACATCACCACATCCAGTTGTGGAGGGTTCGTGAACCGCACGTCGAGAGCTTATGGGCGCGACCCGTGTCGGCAGTCCAAAAGATCATGTTTAAGCCTTCGAATCGGGGCGGGCTGGTCGGTTGATGAAGGTCCAACCGCCCCAGGATCGGCCGAGGCCGACCTTGCTTCCACACCAATGATGATGGAGGGGTGTTGAAGCACATGGTTTCGGCGTATTGGTTGAAGTTGAACTCGAGGCTTCCGAAGCAGATGGTGTCGACGGAGGAGGGTAGCGAGCACCCTTGGTTGTCGACTTCAAGCTTGAAAGAGTCGAAGGAAAGTCTGGCCAGACATCAAGTCGTCGGGCATGTACAATGATCCAACCTTAGGTCTTTCTCCGACCAACATAGCCCTCGCCCGAAGCGCCAACAAACGGTACGTAGAACCGTCAATACCATAGATGGGTGGCGAACACGGCCGGAAGTATCATAACGGAATTCACACAAAGTGGTTACCCAGGTTCGGGCCCTCTAGCAGAGGTAATACCCTACGTCCTGCTTCTAATCTGCATTCATGGTGCATTACCACGTGCAAGAGATTACAAGAGAGATGATGTATGACTACCGAGAATATATTTCTACAATAGTAGATGGGATAGCTACCCCTTGCCCCCACCTTATATAGACGACAAAGGCTAGGGTTTACACAGGAATCCAATCGACCTCTAGCTGCCACTACCTTGGCTTGTAGTCCAAGATGGCCGTCGAGCTCTATCCAGGCCTCCAGGCTCCTTCCTGTCGTCGGGTCCCCTCGAGGCCGCATGGGCCCTGTGGTGGGCTCCCCCTCGATCAACCACCCTCAATGTACTGCACAGTCATTCCCTGTCTCCACCTTGCATGTGCCGCTATCTGGGAAGAGAGGAGGGAAGATGGTAAGAATACCATACGAATAAATAAGGTGATATGTAAAGTTGAAATATTATTGTACCAGCGTTGTTGCACACCGCTATAGTACCTTCAAGATAATAGATTCATATCCATGAGAGCTTTTAATGCTGCAATGACTTGCCGCTTGCATACTGGAAAGGCGCGTGTGAATGTCTCTTAGTGTTAGCAACTCTTTCAAAGCATCTCCAATTTGCATGCGATCCGTAGGAATTTCCATTGAACATGAAACTCCAATATTCAAAATTGAATTGATGCAAGCAATTGTTATATCTCCTCTTCTATCAGGATTTGAGGTGTTTGCTTCTCCATCCTCGTCCTTTAATAACAACTTGTGATCCACAATATTGGCCACTCTTTCTGCAAGTGCATTCTGAACATATCTGTGAAGACCTAGAGCTTCTCCAAGCTCACCGTCGGTTGGTCTTTTCCCAGTAAACATCTCCAGCAACAATACACCATAGCTATACACGTCACCCAGGATTGAAACCTCGTTGCCCAGACCATACTCTGTAATCATCAAAACAGAAGAATTAAAAACATTGAAGTTATGTGTAAGAAAACGTTTGAGCATTTGTATTATCTCCATTGTAGAGTGCTATGAATACATATTTATATGATGGCGTACTTTTGATATTTCGGGGGAAAATTACGACAGATAAATGATTGGCTAGTAGCCTGGAGGCATACCTGGAGCAGCATAGCCAATTGTTCCTCTCATGGCAGCCCAGCCACTTGATTCTCCTAACAAATCACTCTGGTCTTGATGCAGGGCTCTTGCAAGGCCAAAGTCACCAACATGAGCAACCATGTCATTGTCAAGGAGAATATTGCTTGGCTTGAGATCACAGTGAATAACTGGCAATGGCCTGTGTTGGTGAAGATAATCCAGTGCAAAAGCCACATCAATGGCGATGTTGAGCCTTGTGATTAGATTTAACACACTATCTTCATTTTCCTCAAGAGGCTTGTGTATCCATTGATCTAAATTTCCATTCGGAAGAAATTCATACACAAGAGCCTTGAAATCCTGGCTCTGAAAATCCATACTTGAGCAGACTGTCAAGATCTTCAGAAGGTTCCGATGTCGAACACATCTCAGGGTCTCACATTCTGCAAGAAAACTTTGAGATGCACCACGTTGTTGGAGATTGAACACTTTCACAGCAACAATGACCTGCTGCTCATGGATCACCATTCTTCCCTTGTACACCGAGCCGAAGCTTCCTACTCCGATGAGGTTCTCGGAAGCAAAACCATTAGTTGCACTGGCTAATTCAGCATAAGATACTCTGATATGCAAGTCATTGATGGGCGACAGGTCTGCGTTAGCTTGGTGTGACTTGCTCCTGCTGTACCAGAAAGCAAACAGTGCTAAAATGAAGATAATCAACAGCACTGCACTGCTTATGGAGATTATCATGATAAGCTTGAAGGACCGTTTCTTGGTGGTCAGGACGGAGCAGGGATGCAACTTCATTGCAGGGATACCCCCACACAGTCCTTGGTTTCCCTCAACTGCGGTTGCATTCGCATCAAGAAATATTCCCTCTTTTGGGACCTCACCTTCAAAGTAGTTGAATGACAGGTTCAAACTACCAAGGCCTTTTATTCTCCCAAGAAACTCAGGAATTTCTCCCGACAAGTTGTTATGTGAAAGATCAAGTATTTCCAGGCCTTTCAGCTGCCCCATTGATGCCGGGATTCCACCTTGAAGAAAGTTCATTTGCATCTTTAAAAATTGCAGGCTTTCACACTCACCAATAGAGGCAGGAATCTCACCAGAAAATTGATTATCAGACAAATCGATGTCTGTAATATGTTTTAAGCTACCAATCTCCAGTGGTAGCGACCCATTAAACAAGTTGCTTTGGAAGTACATGAAGTCAGATAAGGTAGATATGAGGAAGATTTCCTTTGGAATCGGACCACTGAGCTTATAGTGCTCGAGATCCAATAGTTCTAAAGGACAGCTCCTAAGGCTGGATGGAATAGGTCCATCAAGTGAATTTGATCCAAGAGCGAGTTTATTCAATAATGTGAGATTGCCAAGGGTTGGCGGAATTTGCCCTGAGAGATTGTTCAAATCGAGGTATAAGTAGCTCAGCTTCTGGAGTCTACCAAGAGAGGAAGGAATAGTACCCTCGAAAGAATTGATGCTCATCAGAAGATATGATAAATTAACAAGGTTCCCGATGCCTTCAGGAATATTGCCACTTATCATGTTGTTGGACATACTGAGAGCGTGCAGTTCTGTAGAAAGATTGGCAACTGAATTTGGTAGCACACCTCGAAATTTGTTGCTGCCGAAATCAAAAAACTTGAGACGGCTGCTATTAGTTAGACTGGACATGAAGTCCCAACGATCATCTTCATTTGCATGTAGGTGATTTTGTCCAAGGGTTAGGACTGCCAAACTTTTTAGGTTATGTCCAAGACAAGCCGGGACTGTTCCTGAAATTATATTCACTTCTACTGCAATTGTGCTAAGCATAGAACAGTTGCACAGCCAAGGTGGAATAACACCATGGAGCCTATTATCCCCTACATTAAATGTGTTAAGTACTGGAAAGTTGAAATTTTTCCCACTTGGCAATGATCCAGTTAGCTGGTTGAACTGTAGATTAAATACGCTGAGAGAGGACATATTGAAAAGAGAAGAAGGAACTTGTCCAGTGAGCTGATTCGTGTCTAGATATAACTCGGAAAGAGCATGAAGGTTTCCGAGGGAGGAAGGAATGCTACCTGAAAAACTGTTCTCGGCGAGAACAAGACGAGCAGATAACATATGAAGGTTCCCTAATGATTCGGGAATAGCCCCACTTAAGCTATTAACTCCCAAGCTTAGGTATACGAGTGAGGAGAGGTTTCCTAGCCAGGAAGGGGGGCCACCATGAAGGTTATTTTCTTGCAAAATGAGGACAGACAGAGATGACAGTGCTTGCAATGGCACAATCTCCCCTTCAAATCTGTTGGTTCCAAGATTAAGGGTAGTTAATGCCG